ATGCTCTCGGATTGGGACAGGTAACAGGATCGAAGTCTCTAGTCTTGCCCACGCGCCTCGCTCAGCCAGTGAGCGGGAACCGGTCTGTATGTGGAATCCGAACCCTCGGCGGGAGCGCCGCCGCACTCCCAAGCACCACACTCTACCGAGTGTGCCACCGGGCCGGCCCGAGGCAAGATATTTTTTTTTTTTCCTTTTTGTCTTTTTTCGTGACCGGTAACGGGATCGCAACCGCCAGTGTCATGCCTGCACCGCGACCGGCAATGGGATCGCAACCTTTGGTGTCATGCCCACACCATGCTCAACCAGTGAGTGGACCGGTCTCTATATGGGATCCGAACCCTCAGCGGGAGCGCCGCCGCACTCCCAAGCACCACGCACTATCCAGTGCGCCACCGGGCCGGCCCGCAGGATATTTTTAAAAAGAAAGAAATCACTAAATTTCGTCAAGCCAGAAAAGAAAAACAAAATGTGGTGACATATCACAGAGATATAGTCGTGTCAACAGAGATTCCTTTCATAGTGTTCTTTGGGTTAGGGTCTACATCAGGGTTTCCCACCCTTGGCATTGTGAACATTTGGGGTTGAATCATTCTCTTGGATGGGGCGTCCTATGCACCGTAGGGTGTTGAGCAGTGTCCCTGGCCTCCACCCACCAGATGCCAGGAGCAACCCACCCTCCCAACACCAGTTGTGACAACCAAACATCTTCAGATATAGCCTAGTGTCCCCTGGTTGGGAACCCATGGTCTAAGTAACATTCCTAGCCAATACCTTGTAGTATGAGCCAGGCCCTGTCCTAAGTGCTTTGGAGACATCAGCTCATGAATTCTCTCAACCACCCAACAAAAGAGAGAATGTTGTTTGTTGAATTTGACAGAAGAGGAAACTGAGGCACGGAGTAGGAAAGTTACTGGCTCCCTCATTTAGCCAAATTATCCTCAAAAATTATTTTAATTTGCCCTTAACCTATATGTGTGCCCCATTTTACATCTATTTCTATCTATATATCCATGTGTATATATCTATCTATATCAATATCTATATAGTCTATGTATCCTCCTACCTGTCTACTATCTGTATCTATGTATACGAGGGTACTTGAAAAAGTTTGTGGAAAAATAGAACTAAAGGATAATACGAGTCTTTCCACAAACTTTTTGAAGTACCCTCGTATCTATCTATAGCTGTCCATCCATCTCTCTCTATATATATCCATATGTGTATCTGTATCTGTCCACCCACCCATCCATCCATCCATCCACCCACCCACCCACCCACCCACCTATTTCTCCATGTGTCCATATCCACATGCAGAAATTCTTACGAGATCTGGTCATCAGGGACCTCTGAAAGAAAGGAGCAGAGAGAAGGACTGACTTCACACGATGGGGCAACGACACTGACCTCCTGTTAGGAAAGCTGTCCAAAACCAGGTGTAGGACAGCAGTAGGTGGCCTGAGGGGCGGATTCTGAAGCGTTCCTGCTGCTTTCCAGGTTTACTTAGAGTGTTCTGTTGGGTTCTCCTGCCTCTACGAAAGCACCTTCTGAGGGCCGGCCCGTGGCTCACTCGGGAGAGTGCGGTGCTGATAACACCAAGGCCCCGGGTTCAGATCCCATATAGGGATGGCCGGTTCGCTCACTGGCTGAGCGTGGTGCTGACAACACCAAGGCAAGGGTTGAGATCCCCT